AGGCTGGGGGGAGCTGAGAAGCATCTACCTCCACGGAAATTGTGAATGTTGGTTTTGTTTTTAATATGTTGTCTTTGTCCCCCTTTCCCTTGTCTTTTGTGAGCCGCCCGGAGTCCTCCGGGAGTGGGCGGCATACAAGACAAATAATAATAATAAATAAGTTTGGGCACTCAGTACCGAAAAGGTTCACCATCCCTGGTTTAGGAGGCAGGCATCAAAGAAAGCAACATTAGCCCATTTCATTCCCATTTTCTCCACCTTAATAGGGTAAAATTTACTTTCTCAATCCTGTTATGAGAATGCAGTTGAGCTTAGCTTGAGCAGAACAGAAAATCTAGTCTTCCTTCATTTTACTAATGCATGTCTCAACCGCACCTCACGGGCCACCTGTTCTCAGAGTCTTCCTTTCAAAGGCTGCCCCCACTGCTGGTTATGCTCGCCTCCTTTCCATCGCTCCTTTGGTTTGCTGTGGAGAAAATGTTCCTGCAAACTCATTAATGGAGCAAACATCTGCAACTAAATAGCATTCACGCCAACAGCTATGAATAAGTAATACTCCTGGCTCCAAACAGTTTAACTAAAACACTTATTTAAATAAAGAGCTCAGAAACATTTAATAGTCATTTAGTAATTGAGGTATTAGAAGCTTCAGCAAGGCACCGGGAAAAAAAAAATCGTATCAGACAAGCTTGATTTGACTTTAAGCAAGGTAAGAAAATCAGTCTGTGAAGGATTTCTTTTCTTGTCTCATCCTTCTTGACTGGGGGGTGGGGGAGCAGAAACAGGACATCTCTCTGCAGTGCTTAAGTAATGTTGCTCAGCTGCCTCAAGGACTGCATAAAAAGGCTTATTTGTTAGAAAGAGAGAAGAAACGATGATGTGCATTGTTGGGATTAGCACTTGGCAAAGAAATATTCCCTTAATTGTTTCTTCTTCTGCTGCTGCTAGTTCTAATTCAGTTGAGTGAAAGAGAATTTCAGATTAATTGCTGCAGTTGGAACATGGTGTCCTTGCTCTTACTTAATAATAAAAAAAAAATCTGGCCAACAGGAAGGGACATGTTTTTCATAATTTAATGTAACAATAGCTCCAAGCAATCCACACTCAAGTTTGGTTCTTCACCTTGCAGTTAAGGATGGCATCATAGGTAGGACAGTGGTCAGAATGCAGTATTGCAGGCTCCCTCTGCCCACAGCCTGGAGTTCGATCCTGACTGGTTCAAGGTTGACTGAGCCTTCCATCCTTCTGAGGTTGATAAAATGAGGGCCCAGATTGTTGGGAGCAATATGCTGTCTCTGTAAACTGCTTAGAGACTGCTCTAAAGCCAGAAGTGGTCTTCATCAGGTTCTGACCAGTTCTGGAGATCTGGTAGTGGAAACTTTGAGTGGTTCAAAGAACTGGTAAATACCACTTCTGACTGGCCCCATCTCCGTCTGTTCTCTGAGTCTTGAGTCCCAGCTGGTTGGGAGGAAATGTGGATTTTGCAGTATCCTTCCCCTGCCACGCCCACCAAGCCAACAGTACCAGTAGTAAAAAATAATAATAATCCCACCGCTGTATAAAGTACTATGGAGTGATATATTAGTCTAAGTGCTATTGCTATAAGGTAATACTTCCCACTGGACCTTTTTAGTAGCAACGTGATTATCGGAAGTTGGGGGACAGATCTGTCTTGACAAGGCAATGGGAGAATTCTAGAACTGTGGTGGTACAGTGGTTAGAATGCAATACTGCAAGCTACTTCTGCTGCCTGCCTCCAATTTGCAGTTCAAATCTCACCAGGCTCAAGGTTGACTCAGCCTTCCATTCTTCCGAGGTCAGTAAAATGATGACCCAGATTGTTGGGGGCAATAGGCTGATTCTGTAAACCACTTAGAAAGGGCTGTAAAGCACTGTGAAGCAGTATATAAATCTAAGTGCTATTGCTATAAAGC